AACCGGAGGCCTCAAAGCCCCCCAGGCTCTGGCGTTCCTCTGGCATAACTGGAGGGGGGGTCCAATTTACAGGGGCTGGGGGGGGAAACAACAAACAGGTGAATTTCCCCAGGGTAGATAGGCAGGTTAGGTCCCACTTTTCCTAAGGAAAATGCGTCCCTGTGATCCAAGGACTCCTTTGGTTATTTGGGCCAGGAATGTCTTTGGATTGGGGGCTTCCCTCCTTCTCCCTTTCTCGCAGGAAGTGAAGGAGTTTACACTGCCTTCGTTTACTACAGGGGCCTCGTCTCTCCCCTCCCCTCCCTTTCCCCCCTTCCTCTCTTCTTCCTCTTCTCCTCCCCTCCCTCTCTCTCCTTTTCTCTCCCCCCCTCTCTCATATACACCGAGGTGAACACGGTAAAGAATTCGTAAACCAGGCCTCCTCTCCCCACCACATGAGAGAATGGCGCCTTTGATTAGACCAGAGGGGACTCCTGGGGGGCCACAAGTTCAGGTTCTGCCCCACTTGCCAATTCCTGAAGATAACTAACAAAAGCCTTGAAATTTGGCAGCCATTCAAGGAGCTGAAGCAAGGAGGAGGCTCTCCCTGGCCCTGAGCTGTGGGAGGCTCCCCAGGATTCCCTTGGCTGCTTTGGGGATGGCACCAAAGGAGAACATGAGCAGATCGGGACATGAATCCACCTGATTTAAAATTCAAGGTACCTTTCCAATATTACTTAAAGTGTCCCGTCACTTTTGAAAGCTTCTTTTTTTAAAAAAGCTAGAGATTTTAACTCTGGGAATCAGCCTGGAATTCCGGAAGGTATAACGTTCCCTTTAAATGCATGCTAAGAAGTCATTAAAAAAAGTAAATAAATATAATTTACAGATGATGCCAAGCCTATTAAATGCCTTCTATTAATCCAATTAATTTTTGTTGATGGTTGACAGATTTGTTCTACCAAAACACTGGAAAAATATAAAGTCCAAAGTCTTTATTTGAATCGGTGGCATTTGAAAGTGTGGTAACGGCACTGGATGAATAATATAACAGCAAAGAGGGTTAATTAAAACTGCTTTATTTATATTTGGCTTCCATTTTTAGTAATATCAATGAAGTAATTTCTGGTAACCATATATTTTTAATGGAAATAATTTAATGTACATGTTTAAAATTCTTGATTTCACTTGTAAGTTTTGAAATGTACTAAACACGTATACTGGTAAAACGTATGTTTTAAAAAACTTTGTATAGTTTCTCTTCTTAATTTTGTTGCTTTTATAGACTTTTTCCTTCATTAAACATTATTTTATCACTGTATCATTCATTTTCTGGATTCACAAAACATGGTAAATCCTAAACCAGATTAACAAAACAGAACCTAGATTTTTTTTCTCCAAGCCACATTGGTGTCCCAGGTGCCCATGGAACCCATCCTGGCCTCATGCAGACTGCGTGGGGGGGGGGGGGAGAGTGTTGTCCTCAGCTGCTCCCAAAGGTCCGAGAGTCCATCTGAATGGGGCATTCCTTGGCTTAGGGAGGGCGCAGCTCAGAGAGAATCAAGGGAGCCTTCTATCCTCCATCAGATGAGGGCTGCTCAGGGAAATGAAAAACACCCCCCCCCCCGCGCAAGTAATTAAACATGAAGAATGTTTAAAGAGTGAACAATTCAGGGGCTAGCAAAGGCCATGTATCTTCTTGGCACAATGTCCCAGGATGGCTTCCACCGAAATGGGGCTTTTCTTGCCCCCAACATCTTTAGAAGTAGAAAGAAATAATAACTATCACAGTACGATGGACCTGCAGGGCCGGAGCAACCTGTCACATGTTCACACTGGTGCAGTAGGACTGGGTGTTTGTTAATAGGATTTATTGGGACTTTTTGTCTTCACTGTGACTTGTATTGTGCTGGGAGGGGGGGGGTGCACTGAGGGAGCTCAACCGATCTCATTGTACATATGTTCTGCACTGACAAATAAATAACAATAGTTAGAAATCCCAGCCAGTCCATGCACTGGAGCCCCGAATGGCNCCTCCTCCTGTAGAGGGCGCTTTTTTAGAGGCTTTTTAAAACAGTTAAGCCCTATGCAGAGTCATCCACACGGTGACTCTGGCAGCAACTATCTCAGCCTTTTTCCTTTTACGTTTCCTTTTCTTTTCATGATGACAGTGGTGAGGCTCTGCCTCCCCGTCCCTGATGGTTTCTTTAATTGAAGCTATTGGGAAGCTCCCAGTGTGAGTTATAATCACTGTTAACTCTTAATGTTATATCTTGACGCGAGGCTGCTGCTATCTTGATGTCTGGAACACGTATTCTTCCTGTCCTGTGGCTATGTAGGACAGAGGGCTTGGAATGTAACTACCAGATTGCAAGGACACAAGCGAGCAGTCAGGCGAGGAGACCCGAACTCACCGGTAGTCTCACATTGCAATGAACAAGGAGATGGATTCAATTTCACAGCTACTAAGATTGTTGGCCGAGCAGGTACAAAAAGAGCCAGGGAAGCCTGGGAAAGGAGCCTCTCCTCAGCCAACAGGACTGCTGATTTATCACAAGCGTATCAGATAGTTAGGAGGCGGGGCTTGACAGCACCAGCTAATGACATCATAACTGTCTATCAACGTCCCAACCAATAAAAAGCCCCGCCCACTCCATAAATGCTCCGCATAGAAAAGCCCAAAGGACCCACACTGTTAACAGAGACAAGCTCCCCGAGGATGGGCTCCCGCATGAGTCCAGCAGTTCGGAAAACCGAATCTCTGGTCCTGATGCCCGCCCTAGACTGGATCCTGCAACGTCATCCTGGGACATACAGAGGGTTAGACTAGAGGGCCTCCAAGGTCCCTTCCAACCCTATTACTCTACGTTCTCCGTTCTTCCTCCAAGGACCCGCAAAGAGCCCCCAAAAGGCCTGGCCGGAGGGGGCTGAAGGAAGCCCAGTGGCCCACAGCCAGCTCCGTTCTCCAACAAGGTCTCCCCTGGCTCACAGCAGGCAGGACTGCCAAGGTCTCTGACAGGGCCCAGCCAAAGGAGCAGCCCTGGAACCCCTCTGTGCCCCCTGCCACCTGGGGGTTAGACCCTCCTGCTTGGGCCTGCACAGCCGTGTGGAGCTGCAAAAGCCGCCGCGAAGGGGAAAGGAGGATCTATGCGGAGTATGGAATGACCACCTATTGGGGGGGGGGGTCTCAGTCGTGCTTGTCCCAAAGGGGCTTTTCCGAAAGGCAACTGCAGTTCAGAGCTGAAGAAGCTTCTTTGACGAGAAGCGAAACGTCTCCACAGAAAAATAAGAAAGTCCTGTTGCCTCTTGAAAAAGCCCCTGTGGGACGATATAGAACAACAGAGTCGGAAGGGACCTTGGAGGTCTTCTAGTCCAACCCCCTGCTTGAGCAGGAAACCCTGGACCATTCCAGACAGAGGGCTGCCCACTCTCTTCTCGAAGACCCCCAGTTTTCCTGTTCCTCAAAGTTGTTCTATTAGGGCAGTGGGTCCCAAACTTGGCAACTTTAAGACTTGTGGACTTCAACTCCCAGAATTCTCCAGCCAGCTCTGCTGGCTGGAGAATTCTGGGAGT